GCAGCATTTCAGATACAGATGGATCTAAGTACATGGATATAGAGGAACTTCCAAATGGGGGTGATGATGTTTGTTCTGATCAGAGAATGGAGGATGCTCCAGGTGCAGAAGAAACTACCCAGGGCATGGAGCTTAGGAGGTCATCCAGGGTACCAAACCAAATCCCAGATATCTTTCATCTCTTGACTACTTATTATTGACAGATAGCGGTGAGCCGGAGTGCTATGAAGAGGCAATGCAAGTGAGTGAATCTCAGCAGTAGGAGCATGCGATGCAGGAGGAGATAGATTCTCTACTCACTAATGAGACATGGGAGTTATCCCAGCTACCTGCACAGAAGAAGGCCTTACATAACAAATGGGTCTGCCGGGTCAAGCAAGAGAGTGATGGAAGCAAAAGATTCAAGGTCAGATTAGTAGTGAAGGGGTTTTAACAACGGGAAGGAGTGGACTACACAGAGATATTTTTCCTTATTGTGAAGCTCACAACCATCAGAGTGGTATTGAGTTTGGTGGCTGCAGAAGACCTCTTTCTTGAGCAGTTAGATGTGAAGACTGCCTTTTTTCATGATGACTTGGATGAAGAAATCTACATGAAGCAGCCTGTTGGCTTCATTGAAGAAGGAAAGGAAGAGATGGTGTGTAAGCTCAAGAAGAGCTTATATGATTTGAAACAGGCTCCAAGACAGTGATATAAAAAATTTGATAACTTCATGCAGAACAATGGCTATAGAAGATGCAATTCGGATCATTGCTATTATTTCAAAAGGTTCGAGTCCGGCTTTATTATTTTGTTATTATATGTTGATGACATGTTGGTAGCAGGACCGTGTTTAAAGGAGATAAACAGTTTGAAGAAGCAGCTAGCAAAGAAATTTGTAATGAAGGATTTGGGTGCAGCAAAGCAGATTCTAGGGATGCGAATCAGTAGGGATGAAGCTGAAGGGACATTGAGATTGAGCCAAGCTGAATACGTTGAGAAGGTACTTCAGAGGTTCAACATGTAGAATGCTAAAGTTGTTAGCACACCCCTTGAAAGTTAGTTCAAGCTATCTGAGGAGCAATCGCCTAAGACAGATGCAGATATAGAGCATATGAGCAGGGTGCCATATTCTTCGGCCATTGGGAGTCTCATGTACGCGATGGTTTGCACGAGGCCGGACATCGCCCATGCAGTGGGAGTTATGAGCAGGTTTGCTAATAATTCAGGGAAGCAGCATTGGGAGGCCGTGAAGTGGATATTACGGTACTTGAGGGGAACAACAAATAAACCACTATGTTTCAAGAGGAAGGAGTTGGTGCTGTAGGGATACGTTGATGCGGACTTCGCCGGTGATCATGATACAAGGCGAAGCACCACGGGGTATGTTTATACCTTAGCGTCGACAGTAGTGAGCTGGGTCTCACGTCTACAGAAGATTATGACTTTATCTACAACCGAGGCTGAGTATGTCGCAGTGACCGAAGCAAGTAAGGAGATGATTTGGTTGAACGGGTGCTTGGAAGAGTTGGATTTGAAGCAAGGGAGAGGAGTTCTTTATTGTGACAGCCAGAGCGCTATACATCTTGCCAAGAATCTAGTATATCATGTCAGAACGAAGCATATCGACATCAAATAACATTTTATACGCTCGCTAGTTGAAAACCGAAAGTTACATTTAATGAAGATTTTGGGGAGTCAAAATCCGGCGGACATGTTGACGAAGACAGTCACCATTGAGAAACTGGAGTTGTGCGCAACTTTAGTTGGCCTTCACGAGTAGAAGACGAAGGCGGAGCCACACTACGAGGATCGACGAGATCGCCGGGATGTTGATGATTGAAGAATGGATTTTTCCAAGTAGGAGAAGATGCTTGCGAAGAAGGCGGAGTTCGGGAGAGCTCATTGATGGTGGTTTGATCTCCAAGTGAGAGATTGTTGATCTTGAGAGTGGAGACCCAAACCTAGAATCAAAATCAACAATCGCATGAAAATTCAAGACAGATCATGGGTGTGGTGTCTGCCACACCCTGGTGTGGCAGAGTCTGCCCTGTCTGCCATGGGTGTGGTGTCTGCCACACCAGGATGTGGCAGACTCGTTCTAGAATCCTAATCTGTTTGGGATTGTGTTTTGTTATAAATAGAAACACGTCCCTTTAGGGTTTAAGAGAGAAAAAGAGCACGAAAAAGAGAGGGTTTTGAGGGCTCTTTGAGATTAGAAATCTTAGAGAGATAGGCCAATTGCAAGCATTGTAATCTTCTTCAAGTAATCAAAGAATTGTGTGGTGTGGCTCCCGAGGACGTAGGCACGTTGCCGAACCTCGTTAAATATGGTGTGTTCTTTCTTGTTTACTTTCCTACAATTTTTTTATATTTGATTTGTGGTGAATTTCTTTCTTTCTCAACTCTCAAACACAAGATCCGGAAGGGTACGGATTTGATTTGATTATTTCGAATCCCCAACATAAACAGGGTTGAATGTTCCTTTTGAAAAATAGGAGGTAATTAATTGCAGATATGTTCTATGTATACAGGAGTTGGTCACTTATTGCCCCTTGACTTTTTTTGATGTTGAACCCTTAAGATTCCCCAAGTTGAATGTTCCTTTTGAAAAATAAGAGTTAATTGCGGAAACATTCTATATATGTACACTGGAGTTGGTCACTTATTGCCCCTTAACTTTTTTAATGTCTAAATAGAATTATCTCCGTGGTATTTATGCTCATTATGTGGACGTCACATGACGTTAATGTGTTGCAGAGAGATGTATTGCGGAGAAATTTCTTGTTTCTAATAGATGTTGGGCATTGCGTCTCAAGCAGTCCACGTACAAATACCAAAGAGATAACTCTGTTTCCGTTAAGAACGACGTCTAATAAATTCCAATACAACGATTTACGGATGATAAGTGAATAACCCTCTATATTGAATCTCCGGCCACCTTCCAATTTTCCAAGTAAATCACATCTTACTTGCTCGACAAAGTTAGTGATAAATAAGATGAATGTATCATGCAAGTAGCATTGGATGCTGCATTAGCCCACAGCAATACTGCGAACTTATCCTACATCTGATCTGTTTCCAGCGCCAAACTGTCGGCAGGCCGTGACAATAGTCTCAACAAACAATAATTTGCATGTGGAACAAGTTTGAGCCACCAAACACGAAGCTACAGTTATGGAATCTTATTTCCTATTGTCATTTCAATCATTGGTCAAAATATGATATGACGAAGGTAGGAACAACACAAGATGGGATGATGGAACTTCATGAAAATGAAGCACCGTTGAGAAACACTTAAAAGTAGAGGAGGGAGGGAGCGAAACTAGACTTGAATATATAGTAAGAAGCAGAAAGTAATTGCCTATTGTTTTCATTCAAAATTATGATATATTCTATAACAAAATAAACGAATCATTATTAATGACGAGATAGCTGGAAAATTTACAAACCTAATTAAATGCTGAAATTCTGCCGCTAGTGGAAGTCATTTTAATATCTGTAGTGTAGATATATACGTGTTGTATCAAGTGTAATATGTAAGAATCATGGTGTTATATTCAAGATGAATTATCATTGTCCGTACAAAATAACAGGTGTCTGACTAAGGAAGTAGTAGACTCTTCAAAGTGAGCGCTACAATGAATTAAGCAAGCTGGATCGATCAATAGGAAAAGTCCATATTTTAATTTATATTTGTGTAGTTTTGTAAGAGGATGTTAGCATCCAATCGTAGTGTTTTTGTGCTTATAAAACAATATTTACTAAGTATATAATATTTATGTTCCAAGGACAAGGTTCGGTTTATATTAGAGTTTTGAAAGCCAAATCTCACCACACCTTCTTTGTCATTGACTACCATCAAAGAATATAAATGTTATAATAGAGTATGAAAACGTATCTTCAACCCCCGCTAAAGTTTCATCAAAACTTTAAAATTCTGAAGCAATAACATCTCTAAGATGGTATTTTAGAAATTAATGATGCTCTTGAAGAAAGTTTTAACTTTTAAGTTGTTGTTGGTCTTTTTACTGTTTATCCCCTCTTTGTTCTAAAGAGGGGCGCTATCACTTGAAAGTGTCAGGCTAGATTCATTTAAGAATATTTGTAATTGGATACAAAGTCGTATGTTTCAGCAACTCCTCACTTAACTCATTAATAATAACTATCGTCTCTTTGCAGTTAACCCCTTCTTTTCAACGTTTTAGTTGTTTGTTCAAAACTAACCTCTCAATCATTCTCCAAGAAACAAACAGTAACTCCAAACAATTTGTTCCTCGTCCTCAAGCTAAATTATTGATGGACTATATAGACATCGCCATCCCACCAAATAAAATAAAATAAAATAAAAGGATCCGTAAGTTGTCTACATCATGCATGTATGGTGAAAAATAGAGGCTAAATTTTAGAAAGAGAAAAAAAACCTTTAACTTTGGATGATTACCAAACAACCCCCGTAACTTTCAAAACATCAGAAAAAAGAACCCCTTTAAGTTTAGGGGTTATCAAAAGAAACCCTTTTAACTTTCTATGTTTTTGAAAGTTACGGAGGGTATCTACTAATTGTCCAAAGTTAAACGGGGTTGTCTGAGATAATAGCCAAAAACATTTACTAGGTGAGAAGGTTAGAAACTGACCAATGGCCGACATCATCATAGTAAACTTAAACAAATCAAATTGGATACAATCACCGTACTTAAAGTAAATAATAAAGTCAGGAGAAAATAGAAACCAGAGGATAACGTAAGTTTAGGATGAAATAAACAAATTACTGATGTTACAGTCGCGGGGTCCTTTGACCGACGATTACCAAAACTACATTTTACCAAAAAAAAAAAAAAAAAATTGTGCAAAAACCTAATGGCATATGAATAGATCCACTGAGAACTCTTGTTATTATCAAGCACTACATACTACGAAACTATTGAGCAGAAAGTGCAGTTTGTAAGAAATAACAGGGTCCAGTAAAATTTCACCATGAACTTCATCCAATAAAAGAACACAAATATGCAAATGAAACATCAAGGGAAGGCATTCACAGTGTCACAATAATACATTAAGTCACAAAAATTCCACAGAATACACGATCAAAGAGCAACTTGTAGGGAGTGCTCTACGCCAGTGATACAGAACAACGGACGAGCATATCAATACTCAACTCTAGAAAGAGGAAGCATATGGCTTCCTCGTAATTTAAAAAAGTAGGACCAATGCGAACAAAGATGAAACTAAAACAAGTATTAGCAGCTCATTGATAACCTGATACAGTTTGCTAACCGTACATGAAATGAACAGCACCAATTTTTTCGTGCAACGGGTTGCTCATCTTGACACATTTTCATTTAAGTTAATGTCCCTCAAAAGTACATATATAACGAAATTACAAGCTACGAGAAAGCTTGCTCATTAGGTAACAATTATTAGTTCATATAATCTCGAAAACTTTGTATACGGAGAGTCTTCATGTCGAATTCTTGTTCAGGAGCTGATCTTATCTCGTTAAAGATGGAGCTTTAGCGATTCGGTTATCAAAGTTCAAGATTAAGCTTCTCAAAGCAGACGATAGCAACTACTGGCCCTGCAAAGTCTCCTATCGCACAACCTGTTGAATCACCATAATTTGTTGTTGGTTATTGCATCATGGAAGTTTTGGAAGTAGATCCCAATATAGTGATCCAATTATCTAACTCAAGGGTTAAAATGGTTATTCCCTGAAATGGTTAATCCCAATGTAGCAATCCAATTATCTAACTCGAGGGTTGAAATGGCCATCCAATTATCTAACTCTAAGTGTTGCAATGGTTATTCCCAATATAGCAATCCAATTATCTAACTCAAGGGTTGACATGGTAACAAACGTGACAGCTCTAATCACTTGAGTTTAAAGATCAAAATTAGAATATGCAGCTTTTGCATATAATTTAGAATTGATATTTTCAAAGAAGCATGTCATTTAGAATTGATATCATAAGGACCATGTTACAGTATTGCATTTCGGAAGTGGAGAAGGAGAGCCACCAGTGTCGTTTTACTGGATGTAACAGTAATAACAATTCCTGTTATGTATAGAAAGTGATGAGATTAATGAATAAATAATAACTTGAAAAGAGAGAGATATTTCAACCCATTTTTCTGAAACATTTAATTGTCACTCTTTTTTGGTTTACACCCTAATTTTTTAATTATAGTTTCTTAATCAGGTATCAAGCTAATACAATCTCTCATTTCAATATTGTCCAACCATTTATGGAGTCACAACTGTACAGTATAGCCATAATACATATTAAGTTTGACAAGGTGATTCTAACAATTGGTACGTCCCAACTAACTACTGCATGTACAAAAGAGAAAATGGAGTTAAGAAGGCGTTAAATTAACAACTCTATGCCAAATATTTTTTTGCAAACCTATGAAGGAATATAAGGACCACTCTTAACATCACATTACTCATTCTTAATCTTAGGGTTTTCCTTTCTCTGGTGCGTCATTAATGCATTAAGTACGCAAAGACCACCGGATACTTTCTCCTATACCACACAGGGGGAAGGTATTTATTGGGATACCAAGAAAAACTAAACATCAGCAGAATGCAGATACATCTGCTGATCTGAGCTAAAAACCATGTTCATAAAGAAAGTGTTGAGTAATAAGACAACTTACAAAAAGAGAGAAACTATAAAAAGGAAGGCTTCAGACCCTAGTCACCCACACTAAACTATTAAATTCTGCCATGCTTATCCCCTGAACTAATTCTAAACCCTATATGCTCCCTAAACTAGTCATCCTTGCTTACCCCCTGAACTACTTTCGACCCCATCATGCTCACTAATCTATTAATTCCTCCCTGCTTACACCCTGAAGTATCACTTCACTACCTAATTATCACTTTTTGTTTACTAGTTTAGGGATAAGCATAGACAAATTTAATAGTCTAGGGGGGAAGGTGAGACCAAAAATAGTTCAGGGGTTAAGCATGGACAAATTTAATAGTTTACGGGGCAAGAAGGGACTAAAGCCACAAAGGAACTAAGTTGTTTACCAATCCATTGGCCAGTAGAAGGATGAAAAAGGGCACCAATTCCTGCTCCGATGGATGCAAAGACTAAAGACGATCCACACTTAATACTTGCACCATAGATCTTTTTCGCTAGAAGCCTGATCTTCTCTCTTCTAGGAATATCACCATTCTCATCCACAGGCTTGCGTATGAGGCATCTGTAAGCCTCAATTATTATTTGGACAACCCATGATGCAGCAACACCTAGCATATGTCCTATGAAAATAAAAGGAATAACCAATGAAAAAATTAATTATTTAGGATTTGGGGAGTTACTATAACAGAGAAAGACCTCTGAAAGTCGTTCTGCTGACATTGTAAACAAACAATGTTGTCGGCAGCCCACGTGCAGCCTTGCGCTTCGCCGATTTAGAGACATCTGCAAAAGAAAAAGTAGAACTATGTACTGCAAGATAATCATGTGTTCCCTAGAAAGAAATCACTTCTATATCAGAAAATGCTGTGACACAGGTGAAAATAGGATACTATCAGATTTTTTAAATGTACGTGTATAATGCAGACTACAGAGAGATTAAGATGGGAAGAAATAGTAAGAAACCACTTCCTAGAATAGTAAAGCAAAGATTGATACCATTTATTCTGACATTCAATGAATATCCTTGGATGAATATCAATTTATCAGATGTTTATCCCTCAAATATTAAATCAGAACTTGACATAACTCAAAGATGAATAAGACAATCATATTAATTAGTATTGGCAATTCCTTGCAATCACTAATAGCTAAAACATCAAAAGACAAGATTTGAAGCTTTGGTGTGTCAAATGGAGTCAAGAGATGAACTTGGAGATAATGCACCTTCATTAGGACGTATTATTAGAGTCCAGCTCTTGTAAACTCAAGTGGATATGAGCTATTGTCTACTAATTTTTCTGATCCCTTGATCTTGCTTTGAGATTTGTGCTACACATCAATGTTATTTTTGAGATGTGTGTCTTGATATGTATCACATGCTAGCACACATGTCAAAGCAAAATAAATAGATAAACAAATTTGTGGACAAAGAGCTTCTATCCACTTAAGTTTACAGGAGCTTTACTCCATAATATAGAAAGTCATACAGGAGCTGTACTCCATATTATAGAAAGTCATACAGTTGCAGGGTTCTTTCAGATGGAATGATAAAATCGGTTTCATGAAGAATTAATGGACAACAATACAAAGAAATACATGGAAAACTTATTCTCGTGCATGTGTGCATATCCACATATATTAACAGTAGTTTTAAGTATTCATCTAGCTTAAAGACCGACCTTTGAAAAACAAGCAGCAGACTGCAGAAGATGTGCTTCAGTTTGGATGGAAGAAGATTTTAGCAATTTGATGGTAGAAACCTCATGGTGGACTTTAACTATATTGAACTAAACTGCATACACTGAACTAAACTGCATAAACTAAACTACATAAGAGACAGCAGAAACTTGTGAGGATGTGTCTGCACTAAACAAGACAATAAAGTAGGCCCTACAAGAGAGAGATTGTTTTTTAATGCTGCCCCTTTGAGGAAATTCACCCAAAAAAAAATGAATGGAATGAAACAAAGTATAGATCAATGTAAATCACATCACCTCCTTTCGTACGCGGGGATCGGATCAAGTGAAAATGGAATGAAGCAGGGAATGGAATGGAATGAGTGTGGGAACGGAATGCTCATTTCTATTCTCATGTTTGGGTGCAATTAGAGAATGAAGTAGGAATGAAAATCTTTTTAATTTTTGGTATGAAATAAGCAATCATGGCATATTTGGTATTTAATTAGTTTTTTCATTCCACTTAAGTAGGAACGCAAATTCCCATAAAAAAGTGTGAATTAAGGAGAAGTGGGAAGGGACATTGTAACTTCCAAAAAATTGGTGCTTTTTGTAGACATGAATGAGAAGTGGGAATGAACAATCCATTCTCACCCATTCCCCATACTAAACAAGGTCATAGAGTGAAATAGGCCACTTCGTACATGTCACAAACCAGAATTAATCAATAGCATATGTTTGCGTGATAATAAACTATTTGCAATCAACAAAACTAAATTAACACTGTCTTGGCACCTTCAAAATATCAGTGTAAGTTGAAGATAATAATAGACCACACCAACATAGATGATGCTCGAAGATATCTTGGCCTCAAAACGATAATGCTTGAAGCTAGTGACGGGATCATTCAATATAATATGTCAGTGTTTTCAGTTTAATATATTATTATAATATGTAGGAGCAGACCAATATAAAAACTATTAAAGTATAAGTAAATACTAGTGTGTATTAAATCCTAGTTTAGTCTCCCATCGACTATGTGTAGAGAAGTATTCCTTTGTACATCTATATATTTGGCATGAAGCCTAATTGAGAGGGTGTGAGACTTCCCCAATATTCTAAGTTTAACATCATATAAGAGCCTTGTTGATCTTAGTCTAATTAAACTCACAGGCCCCACAAGGAATTTCCCCCCCCTAATTAAGCTCACAAGCCCTACAAGGGAAATTTTTTTCCCTTTCCTCTTTCGTGATTTCACAAATCACCCACAAGGGATTTTTTTTCACCAAATTAATCTCACCGGATTTGTTTCCTTTTTCTCTCCCGTGATTTCACAAATCACGAAATTAGCATGATTACATCACGCTTCTAACCAGATCTGATTTAACTAGATCTAATCTGCAGACTCATAGGCATCCACGCCTCCTTCAAATTTAGGCATTCAAGCCTCCTTATATCTTGGGCATTAACGCCCACGAAATATCGGCATGAACACCTTATCAAATTCAAATTGCAACATAAATGTTGTCATGGCAACACCTGAAAATACATATCATTAACGAATGTCAAACTTTAGGCACCGAACTATCGTGTATGGGCATTTGCTCTCAAGTTTCACCTCTTGAGTAGAGGTCTTTGGGGACATGTCGATGGATCTTCTGTACCTCCTGTCAAAGCTACAGGCACCACTGATGATGCATACAATAAAGCTCTTCAAGTTGGACTACAAACAAACATAAGGCAATGGCCCTTCTCATTCAATCAGTTACACCGACCATTCGGCTGCAACTGGTTAATTGCACTTTCACCAAATCTCTATGGATGCATCTTCAAGGTTTCTACTCTCAACAGGATGATGCACATGAATATCGTCTACTTTAAGAAGTCGCTTTGGCACAAACAAGATAAAAGATCCATGAATATTATACTTATATGCTTGATTTGTGGCAGCAAATTGCAGCTCTTGAACATGTCATAATCTAATCCAGAACCAGTCAAAAGTTTCAATTCATATTGAGACCGACAATGTCTGTTTCAATTTCTCATGCGACTATCCCGAATATGAATCTCTTCGTGGACAACTAGTTCATCATGTACCACGTCTCATACTGGATAATGTTGTTGCCACTTGCCAAGCTTCTTGCTAAGGAGACGAGACTTCGCTCTTTATCTCAGCAACCATGTCAGAGTTCTGTTCTTGCTACTACTAAGCAATTTTCTTGGCCATTGAATTCCACTTCACGGAGTTCACAGTCAAAATGGTGTTACCTTCACAAAACATAAACTCATTCTACTGAAGAATGTCGAGTAATTTCTTCAAAACGTGCTAAGGATACCTATACATAACGTTTGTACCAGCGTCGTCCCAATGATTCCCCACAAGCTGTGGTTGCTAACTCCTCATCAGTCATTATCTAACTCCAAATCAGAAGCTCCAACTGATCATCATGATCGTCTGCGTCAATTTCAAGAACTATTTTAGTCTTTGAATCTTACTAGTAGTTCTTCTGAAATATCTCCTGCTGCATCTACTTTTGCCATAGCCTCAGGTTTACTTCAACATAGATTATAGGTTCTGGTGCAACTCATCACTTGACTGTTGATTCATCATATTTAGTCTCTATCTCTTATGTATCACCATCAACTACAATTCATAGTGTTGATGGCACACCATTATCTATTATATGTAATGGACATCTTAATTTACCTCCTTTACTTTATGTCCTAAATGTGCTACATGTTCCTAAGCTTGCTTTGAATATTTTATTTGTGTCTGAGTTAACTGCCAAGAACTATATTGTCTCATTCAATTCCACATCTTGTTCTGTACAGGATCTTCACATAAAGAGATAGTCTTTATATTATGAATCGGCTTGATCTTCCAAAGCCCTTACTGTAGCTATTCGCCTTACCACCATACCTCCTATGTGTGATATTTGAGATTATAGGCTTGGTCAGCTTTCACTTCCCTTTCACTCTCAATTCAGGCTTCTCTTACAGCAACATCAAGTTTACAGGAACTACAATCTTATCATGAGACTGTAAAGTTATCTGAGTGGAAACAGATAATGTCCGAAGAAGTACAGACTCTTCAAAAAACACAAATTTAGGAGATCACTACTTTACCTCCAGGTAAGCGGGCAATTGGCTATAAATGGATCTAGAAGATCAAACTCCACACTGATGGTACTATTTTACGATAAAAAGCACGTCTTGTAGCTCGCAACTTTACACAATAATACGACATTGATTATGATGAGACGTTCGCTCCTATGGCCTGGATGACTGTTGTTCGTACTTTTGTAGTTGTTGCAGTTCATAATTGGCAAATTTTCTAAATGGATATTAAGAACCCTTTCTTACATGGTAACATTTCCGAGGATATTTACATGCTTTCGTCAAATGGTCTTCCACATCAACCTAGACAGGTTTGTCTTCACCAGACACTTTATGGTCTAAAGCAGGCTCCTCACGCTTGGTTTGCTCGATTTATCTTTGTTATTCAGGGTGTCGGATTTACTTCTAGTTTTAATGATCCTGCTATGTTCACGCACACTTGTGGGACTATCCTTCCATATGTCGATAACATGATTCTCACCGATCCCTCAGAATCTCATATACATCAGTTTAAACAATATTTGTATCAGCAATTTGAGATGAAGGATCTTCGACATCTTAGATACTTTTTCGGGCTTGAGATTGGTCACTCGCTCCGGGAATATATTCTCTCACAAAAGCGATTTCTTACAGATATTTTAGATTGCTCTGGGATGACAGATACTAAGACAGCACCTACACCTCTTGAGCTTAATGTGAAGCTTCATTTTATTAATGGTGATCCGTTATCTGATCCTTCCTGCTACCGTCAACTTGTAGGGAGTCTGGTCTACCTCACCATTAGTCGACCTGATATTACCTATGCAGCATATATCGTTAGTAAGTTTCTCTCAGCTCCTCATATAGATCACCATGCAGCTCCTCTTCGCAATCTTTGAGGGACTTTGAGCCGATCTCTATTTTTCTCATCCTCCTCCCATCTTCAGTTGCGAGCTTACAGTGATACTAACTGGGCTAGAGATGCTAATGATCGATACTTCACAACTAGCTATTATATATTTCTTGGAGATTTTTTGATTTCCTGGAAAGCAAAGAAGCAGGAAATTGTTTCTCGTTCTAGCTCTGAGGCAAAATATCGGGCAATAGCGTCCACTACTGTTGAAATTGTTTGGCCTCGTCGGTTACTTAGTGACATGGGTGTGTCTTCTACTGTTCCCACTCCTCTCCATTGTGACAATACTAGTGCTATCAAAATAGCCAGTAATCTTGTATTTCATAAGCACACCAAGCATATCGAGGTTGACTGTCATTTCAGCGTCACCACTTTATCAATGGCACTATTTCTTTACATTATATCAGCTCTCAGATGCAGTTGGCTGATTTCTTCACTAAATCTCAAACCTTCCAGCATCATCTCTTTTACATTAGCAAACTCTTATTGGTTGATCCACCATGAATTTTTTGGAGAGGTGTTAAAATATATGTAAATGCTAGTGTGTATTAAATCCTATCTTAGTCCCACATCAACTATGTGTAGAGAAGTAGCCCTTTGTACATCTCTATATTTGGCCTGGAGACTAATGGAGAGGGTGTGAGATTTCCCCAATATTCTGAGTCTAACAAAAACGAGTAAGTTTCCACTTTCCATTATTTAATTCTTATCACTTCATTCTTATCTCCAAGCTATTTGCAAGAATGAAAGGCTTCTAAAAAAACAAATAATTAGTAATTATTGAGATTCAAGTTTTTCTTTAAATTAGAAGTAGGTTATATGCATTATAAACTAGATATTCATAGCAAATCTTTTCAACCAAAGAAAATGCCACCAATTGCATATATATTCTAGGAGAGCAGGTTCTTATGAGATCAGATACAAAGAATCGATGGATTTTGCAAGGATACCAAAAAGCATTTAGTTGAATTATAAACTAAAGTTACACAAAGAAATAGTAAAGTTAATAAACCACTACAAACCGCTCTACAATCCATATATTATATGTATATATGAAAATACCATAGTTTTGTCATAGTTTAAAGTTAGTACTTAAAGGGGAGTACCTTTGAGAAGCTTCCGTGCCATTCTCTGTGAAACATAATGAACAGAAAGTCTTTCCAGCACCCTACGAGTTGTTACGACAGCAGTCTGAAATATATGAAAAAGTTGAATGTACTTGAACATTACTCCAATTTCTGACAATAGCACACATAAGCTAAACAATTTGCATGTTGTTTCTTAAAAAAATGAACATAAAGTTTAGGAGTCCAATAAAGAAAGTATCGTGACTTGATTTTATATCCCAGTTCATATATTAGGGATTAGGCACTTATCACCCAGTTTATAGACCTTATGCCCCTATCAAATCTCTTGTTAACAATAATGATAAAAGATTAACTTGCAATATATAAGATTTAAATGTCAGCAAACAAGGTGATCTAAGCAAGCTCTTGTTTTAAGGTTTGTAGACTATAAGGACAAATTACTGTACATATAGCACGCAGTTTATTAACAGAAGTTTTACTATCAAGCTTGTAGAACCAAATGAACAAAAGTTTCTATTAGCAATTAAAATAGCACTTTAAGAGTAAAACAGGAGTTGAGACTTCACCTGGATGAAATGTATCATGAAAAACAAGGAGAAGAAAAAATCACCTCACGGAAAATCTGCTTGACTGAATTCTTGAATGGAACCACCAAATCTACGGGCCTATCTCCTGGAATTTCTTGTAGGACGTCATCATCATCATCATCCGCAGGCTGGTGAGGTTCCAGAAGAGGTAAATAAAACAACAAGAAGGACCTCACAGATGTCATAGCAAGAGACTTCAGTCCAAAGGCTGAGAACAGAGGTTTTAGCTCTATGGGATAATCTTTGGCTTTGAATTTAATAGACTCTTCATGGAGAACAGTTTCAGATGTGCCCCGAAGATTAGGAGTGTATCTTTCATCCAATGTTACACCGGCATCACAATAAGCAATTGGAATTCCACCATCTCTGAAAATTATTGAGAGTTAAAAGGCCTTGAAATGTGTACAATAAGGTGATATGGTATTGCATGTACATAATATAAAGTTATCTAATATATGGTAAAAACTCCAATATTAAACAATTTGAACTGTTCATCATTACCCATTTACTCTATTTTTGGGTTATTTGCATCACTTTGGTACCCTAAATTATACTTCTTTTAACTTTGATACCTCTAAGTTTACACCTATCTTAACTTTGATAACTTTAGGGTACTAAAGTGCAAATAACCTCTATTTTTGGCTTAAGGGTGAGGTTTTCCTTACTCCTCTAACTGGTTAGTGGAGGGAAAACTACATGAACACATTGTGCCATGAACCCTAACAATAAAAGAAAAAAAATTCAAAATGCACTTCTCTCTAGATTGTTGCATGTCATTAATTCTTGTGAATAAAATTTACGATTGAGAAATCTGTTATAGGTCGCCTCAAATACTGAAATCCATATTGCTTTGGGAGTTCCTTTCTTAGGTTGGTTTGTTTTGATCAAGAGTCCTACTTACATTAGACTTTGCACCAATATTTTAAATATCGGATATCGGGAAAATATCGGATGACCAAAATTCATATCGGATTGCAGATATCGGAGAAATATCGGGGATATGTGGTAAATATCGGAATGCCATAATGAATGTTTTCATACATAGTATAATGTATTAAAATGTAATCTCAACATATATAATAAAATTTAAGCATACAAAATATAAATAATATATGTTTAGAATCACTAATCAATCTTCTAAAACAAACAAAAGTACAAAGCAACGTTGTAACATTCGATCTGCTTTTTTTAGGGCAAAATGTCATTTGATATAATGGAAAAATCTTGATATCTCGCCCAAAAATTCCAAACACGGTATATTATTTTGCAACAAGGTATATAAAAAGATATATTAGTCCACATATCGGCTAATATATCGGTCATATCGGGGATTTATCACTCAAAATAGCCAAAAAACGATAAAGGATATTTAAAGACCATATCGGTTGTGACAAGCCCTGTAAAAGGATATATCGGGGGATATATCGGGTCATGTCGGGGATATTTAAAACAATGCTTTGCACAACCAATCATATTAGGGGTTTATTCCTATTTGGACTTTTATTGGGTTTTAGGACATGTGGACTTCTATTCCTATTAGCACTCTTATTCTTTAGACAACAAGGAACTGAGATCTTCAAGGCTATATATAAGAACAATCTTTCAAGCCAGTAATCAAGTATCAATCTTTAGAGCAATAATCAAGAAGAGAGAGTTCTTTTGTGAAGTCTATTTGATATTCTTCTCTTTTGTTTATCGGTTTGAGAGGTTTTGTATTAAGGCTTTTCGGGGTGTTATTTAGGATTGGGAGATTGAGAGATCCATTTTGTATTCCTCACACTTAGTAAAGCTTTTCTTCTCATTCGTCCATGGACGTAGGCTACAAGTCGAACCACGTATATCTTTGTGTTCGTGTGTTTTTGATATTTTTCGTGCTCTCGTGTTATTAATATTAGCTTATCCTAGAGAATTTATCTTAACAAATTAGTATCAGAGCCACCAGCTATCGATCGGACGAGAAGATGACGACAACTACTACGAAGTGGGATATCGAGAAGTTTGACGGTAATATCAGCTTTAACCTTTGGCAAGTTAGAATGATCGTCATGTTAACATAGAGTGGATTAAAGAAGGCTTTGTTCGGAAGTCGAAGAAACCGGCTACTATGATGGAGAAAGATTGGAACGAGTTAGATGACAGAGCTCTCACAGCGATCCAGTTATGTTTGACAAATGAAGTTTTGCAAGAAGTTCTCACGGAGAAAACAGTCACTGATTTATGATCTAAATTAGAGGATTTGTATTTAACGAAGTCGCTCACTAATCGCCTCCTCTTGAAGCAGCATTTGTACACACTTTGGATGTCGGAATGAACACCTATCAAATCTCATAGTGATGAATTTAATTCTATGATTACAGATTTGAGTAAGATTGATGTTAAGATCGATGATGAAGATCAAGCTCTATTGTTATTGTGTTCTTTATCGCCTTCCTACAAACACTTCAGGGATATTATGATTTATGGTCGAGATTCTATTGGTATCAAGGACGTCAAAGAGAACTTATTGAATAAGGTGGTCGAGATTCTATTGGTATCAAGGACGTCAAAGAGAACTTATTGAATAAGGAGAAGATCGACAAAGAGTTAACCACAAGTGAAAGTACAAGGACGTCAAAGAGAACTTATTGAATAAGGAGAAGATCGACAAAGAGTTAACCACAAGTGAAAGTAACAATAAAGCTGATGGCTTATTTGTTCGAGAAAGATCCGAAAAAAGGGCTTTAGAGGTAACAGGTATAAGTCGAAGCGCAAGGAATCTGACTTGTAGATATTGTAAGAAGAAAGGACACATTAAGAACGATTGTTACAGATTGAAGAATAAAAATAAATAAGAAGAGTATGAAGAAAAATCAAAGGAGGACTCCGCTGAAGTTGATATTGCTGAAGATGCGATTTTGTTGGCTACAGATGATATAAACAAGAGCATGGATGATTGAATTTTGGATTCGGGTTGTTCCTATCATATGTGTCTTAATCGGGACTGGTTCACCACTTATGAAGCTATTGATGGTGGAGTTGTTCTTATGGGAAACAACGCCTCATGCAATACTGTTAAAAAAGACACAATTCGGATTAAGATGCATGATGGAGTTATCAGGATTTTAACAGATGTTAGGCATGTTCCAGGTTTAAGGAAAAATCCCATCTCTTTGGGCACTCTTGATAGCATTAGGTGTAATTTTTCAGGTGAATTTAGAGTTCTTGTGGTTATGAAAGGAAAGAAGATCGACAGCTTGTATGTTTTGCAGGGTTCTACCGTTATCGGCTCGACTGCAGTTGCATCGTCGATGTCATGAGTTGATACTACCGGATTATGACATATGAGACTTGGTCATATGAGTGAGCGCGGATTGACCGAGTTGAGTAAGAAGGGTCTTTTATGTGGATAAAATACAGAAAATTTGGGATTCTGTGAGCATTACATCTTTGAAAAACAGAAAAGAGACAACTTTAGTATGACAATGCATCAGACTAAAGATACTTTGGATTATATCTATTCAGATCCTTGAGGACCTTCTCAAATTGCCTCGAGGGGTGGTAATTCCAGATATTTATTGATCTTCATTGATGACTACTCCAGGAATGTTTGGATCTACTTTTTGAGACATAAAGATGAGGTGTTTATGACTTTTAAGCAATGAAAGTTTTTGATTGAGAAGCAGACTGGAAGGCTGATTAAGAGGTTTAGAACTAATAATGGCCTTGAGTTTTGTGGAGGAGAATTTAATGAGTTCAGCAAGGAGGGAATCGTTAGATATCATACAGTCCCTCGCACGCCGCAACAGAATAGTGGTAGAACGTATGAATAAAACCCTATTAGAGAAAGCTCGTTGTATGATGTTTAATGCAGGTTTAAGTAAGGAATACTGGGCGGAAGCAGTGAATACGGCTTGTTACTTAGTGAATCTATCGTCATCTACTACTATTAGTTGTAAAACTCCAGAGGAGGTTTGGTCCGATAAGCCTGCGGATTATTCTAATCTTAAAATATTTAGTTGTCATGCATATACGCATGTTAGTCAATGAAAATTTAAGCCGCGAACGAAGAAGTGCATATTCCTAGGTTATGCATCGGGTTTTAAGGGTTTTAGGTTGTGGTGTCCTGATTCGAAGTCTCCTAAAATTATTATCAGTCGTGATGTTACTTTTGATGAGTCTGCTATGTTCCACCAGAAACGATCATCGGTTTCAGTTGTTGATAATGCGCGTACTACAAGATATAATGTAGAGTTAGAAATTCGTGATTCAGCTCTTTAGCAGGATAAGACTACTAGGGTTCAGTAATCAGATCCCGTTCAAGTTGATAAAGCAGAAGAGCGGGAATATACTATTGCTAGAGATCAGTCTAGACGAGATATCCGACCAACGTAAAGATATGAACATACGGTAGCTTATGCATTGTCGGTTGATAGTTTTGTGCTCTTCAGCTATTCAGGAGCTACTTCAGGTGATGACTTCGCTAATATTTATGATCGTCATGCAGACAATTCAATCGATTTGTTGAGAAGACCTCTTTCAGTTATCAAGTTCAAGTCGGACTTGGACATGATCAATACGTGCCGCACATAGATGCTCTGCGGGGTTATTGGAGAAGGTGGAATGAGTTAGCTTATTTTGAAGTGAGGAATATTCTACACATTTGAGTCAATGTGGAGATTTGTTATAGGTTGCCTCAAATACTCAAATCCATGTTGTTCTAGGAGTTCTTTTTTTAGGTTGGTTTGTTTTGATTAAGAGTCCTACTTACATTAGACTTTGTACAACCAATCATATTAGAGGTTTTATTCATATTTGGACTCTTGTTGGGTTTTAGGAGATGTAGACTTCTATTCCTATTAGAACTCTTATTCTTTAGACAACAATGAGCTGGGATCTTCAAGGCTATATAAGAACAGTCTTTCAAACCAATAATCAAGTATCAATCTTTAGAGCATCAATCAAGAAGAGAGTTCTTTTGTGAAGCCTATTTGATATTCTTCTCTTTTGTTAATCGGTTTGAGAGGTTTTGTATTAAGGCTTTTCGGGGTGTTACTTGAGATTGAGAGATCCACTTTGTATTCCTCACAATTAGTAAAGTTTTTATCCTCCTTCGCCCGTGGACGTAGGCTACAAGCCGAACCACGTATATCTATGTGTTCGTGTGTTTTTGATATTTTCCGTGCTCTCGTGCAATTGATATTAGCTTATACCGGAGAATTTGTCTTAACAAAATCAGTGTAACGGATGCAAATTAGATAATGTGCAGGAAATAAGAATGCCATCCTGAGGGAAAATGTTCAGTGATTTGCACGGAAAATTAACAAAGAAAACCTCATATAACATCAGCAAAGTGTCAATCAATAACCTTCATAATTCGTCAATTCGCTTCAAAAAGAAATCGCCAAGCTAATTTAAACCGTAAAAACACATACAATTACTTGAATAAACCTAAATTAACAAGATAATCAATAGAAAGAATATTGAATCTATTGGAACAAAGAAAGAAAGAGAGATCAAACCCGAAGAGAGCTCGCGAGAGAAAAGGTTTTCCGGCGGCGATGGAGGCGGCGGTGGCGGCGGCGGTGGCGGGGAAGAGGGTGTAGGGGTGAATAGATTGAGTTGTTAGGGTTTGCTTTTTCTTGAGTAGATCGAGAATTAGAGCGATCCCCGCCATTAGAGGAAGCTCAAGCTTTCTCTATTTGTCGATTGTTTTTGATCTATTTTTGTTTAAGAGGGGAGGTGTTTGCTTTTGTGGATCGGGTTTGGGCCTACATGGAGGATCCGAATCATCCGATAGGTTTGTCAGGAGAATTTGCTTTTATGATTCAAGATGAGTTGACAATTTTGATAGTAGGCGCTATAAAAAGAAGCAGCAGAAGAACAACTCTTTGATAGGAATGTGTTTCCAACGCTAATAGTTAAAAGAATAATGCTGTTTAAACTTAATTATTAGTTTCATAATATTTTTGGATTACAATATACAAATTTGTAGGGTCCTTCCACCAGACCTTATAATGCTTTTTAGGAAAAAAAAACATGAATTATCTGAGGAATTCACATGTATGAAAATTAGGAAAATTATAAAAATATATGACACATTGGTTTTTGAGCTGTTTGAATCAATTTGTGGTAGTATGAAAATTATGACCTAATAAGAGATGTAGTATACAATTTGTTTATTTATTTATTTTGATAAGAAAATATAGTATATAATTTGTCACTTTAATTTAGTAAAATAAGCTTAAAAAAATATAGTGAGGGAGGTTCGCCTTTTCTGATATGACTTAAAGGATGGATTCAGTCACCAGTCTATTTCTCACTAGTTCATTTAGTAGAATTGTTATATAATAAAAAAAAATTATATGACACATTGGCATCAATATTCCTTTATGTGACTAACATGTGAATAGATAAGACTAAATATAACAATTTCCCCACTTTCCTTTGAAGAGAGTTTGAGAGACATGAAAGTACTCTAGAGGAGGAAGAATAGGGTAATTGCTAATCTAATCCGGTTTAGATGCCAAATTAAAACTAATGATGTAATATCCTAACAATATAATGATAGACGATATAAGCAAGAAGCACAATATATGAATAGAAATGGTGAGCAAAAGATAATCGCAAACAAACTTTATGATCACGGAGTTCGGTCAACCCTCGACCTACATCTCCACTCCTCACCTCGAGAAGATCTCCACTATAACTCAAAATAACTACACAATAACGATTTTCAAAGATCACCGAAAACTTTTACAATACACACGTTGTCAATCACACAAGCCACACTCCTCTAAGTGTTGGACTACTCATGTTATCTTCCTCAAGTGTTTGGATTTACAACCTCTCCTTAGGCTTTACTACTAACCCAATCCTCTTGGAATTAACTCCGGTCTCTCTCTAACCACTCCTCTAAGTGTCTTTGTGTATTGCAACGTGTTCAACGATAAGTTCAAATAAATATTTTGTTCTCTAAATAAGTGAGAACGAATTTGAAGCTCTCTCTCAATGAAATACTCTCACAACCCAAATATACTTAATGCGAAATACTTAAGCTCAAGTGGCTGTGTGTGTAAACAATGTATACTCAAATAATTATAGCTTATATAAGATAATCAAAATATAGATTAGCAAGAAGAAAAGAGTTTAGAAAATTTCTCCAAAAAACAAGAGATGTAGATATTTGAGGATGGTAGCCTGAAAACTAAAATTGAGATTCTTCTCTTGTGAAACTCTTTTCACAAAAAAACAAACACACTTAAACTTCTCAAAAACTTAGACCAAAGTGGCCAAAACAATCTTGTAAAACTCTTCTACAAAAACCAAGTCTTGAGGGCTATTTATAGTCTCTCAAACAAAACTGCCAAAACTAGTTGTTACAGTGAAATAGAGCAGATCAGTCGACTAGTGGCTTTTATCGGTCGACTGATCAACTAGCTGTTACACAATATAAAACAGATAGCCATGACTTGGTCGACTAAAAAGAAAAATCAGTCGACTAAAAAAGCTGTGCTCAGTCAAGTGATTCAAGTAATCGGTCGACTGATAAGAGTGTAAAATTAGATGCTGTAAAAACTCGTTCTGGTCGGTTGATTGGACATTTTAATCGGTTGACCAAAAACTAATATTTTAGATACTCAAATTTGCTGAAAACTTGATTTTCTAAATTCAATTTAAAATAGTAAAATCAACTCCAAAAATAATAAAACTTGGGGAGATGTTTATATATGTGAAATAAACATGTTGGAAAAGGAATTTTTTAAGATAACATTTCCCATTTGTGAAAATTCATCATTTTATAAAATTACAATATACGAAATCGTTAAATGCTCGATTTTAATAAACTTATTCCAAACAAGTTTTGAGATAGATTAATAGACTTTTGAGAATATGTAAAATAATATCATTAAGTCTATAAGCCATACATATGGCTAACTTATTCACAAAGATAATTTTTGCATGTGTATAGTTTGAGCTTTAAGTATAAGCACATAAAGTAACACTTAAACTAATAAACATTATATCAAGCTAATGATCTTCCTGAAGCTCGATCTTGGTTGTGGGATGAAGCCGATAGTGAGTTTTTGACTTTGAGTGCAAGGGCTTCATTCCGAATATCCACCAACCTCCAAAATATCGTCGTTAAGGCGGAAATCCTACCAACCTCCGACTTGGATGCATATTAGAGAAAAACACAAATACTGGAAAACAAGATTAGGAATTATTTGTTAATCATCAAAATCAGATTAAACAATAGGCTCATAAATATGAGACCTAACAATCTCCCCAATTTTTACAATGACAAACAATCTACACAATGAGTATAGGAAAAGATGCATGATACCAAATAAATATACAATTTATAATCCTCATGCATGATATCAATATTAAGCAAAGAAACAATATACTCACAATACACTTGTTTCTCTCCCTTTGTCAATATCAAAATGGGGAAAAACAATAAGAGAAAGAGAGCAAAAGCTCCTCCTATATATAAGCATGGTGAGTATAAACAAAATAGGGAAGAATCAAAATGCCAAAGAGCATAGAAAAAATAACAATGCAGCTACATGTGAGCAAACATACACAGCTACAAGAATCATGTTAATTCCAGCTCACACTTAAGAGAACACATATGTATATTATCACAAAAGTGTCTCAATACATAGTGTTAGACCAAATACAAAAGTTAAAATTATTGAAAAGATAAAAAAAAATACAAAATCAACAGCAATAAAATGAGGATCCAAAGGAACTAATGCAAATAAAACTCCAATAGTAACAAAAATGAGGATCCAAAGGCATCATCCGAAAATATTTTTGAAAGAAAACAAACTTCAAAAGAAAATCATGAAAATATTTATAAAGAGTATTTATGAAAATCCATGGAGGAAAATCATGAAAATTCATGAATCCATGAAAGGCAAATAAAAGTCAAACAAAAGTTAAATGAAGGTCATCAATCAAATGAAATCATAAATCGGTCGACTTAACGTATCAGAAACCGTTCGACTGAACAGGAAACATCAGTCGACAGGAGATTAAGAACAGTCAACTAGCCAAAGAGATGTGCAACTATCTGGCTTTGATCAGTCTCATCAGGCAACTGGTTTAAAGCTTCGGTCGACTTATGACATCAAAAATTCATAAACATTCAAACATAAATTATGATTAATAAAGAATTTAAAACACAATAACATCAATACATGTTTAATCAAGAAATCCATAAAAACATCATTTTTGAAGAATGTAAATAAGTGATCAAGCAAAAATGAATCAATGGATGTACATGCCTAATTCACCTCCTATATGCCAAAAATTTCTTCGCAAAGAGGCTTGAAAAGATGTCCGCTAATAGAGTTTTTGTGTCAATTATAAATAAGGGACACATCTTTCTTATATACTTAAACACACAAAAAGTAATGTCGAACATTTATATGTTTCATCCACAAAGATCAAAAAGGAGTATGCTTTGGATAAAACAAACGAAGATTAATTTGTACTATATTCGACAAGAAAATTTGAGCATACCAAGCTCTTGGAGCTTGTTTCAACCCATATAAAGCTTTTTGCATCCAATAAACATGATTTGGAAGAAAAAGATCAATAAATCTAGGGGATTGCTCGACATAACCTCTCATCAAAATCAAAACTAATAAAATTCATATAATGAAATTAAAAAAAATCCAAAAATAAGTTTGATCAATATATGTAAACAAAACCAACCATTTGGGTAAAATTTCCATAAATTTTAGAAAATAAGTTTTGTAAACACGTTTTTCAAAAAGAAACGAAAAATGAGAAACACTAAAAACTTATTTTAAAATCTGTTACAGGGTATCCCCTGCTCCCCACAAATTTGCAATCCCGCGAGCCGTCAGTCCCCCAGTCGAGTCGGCATCATCCTCTCAAAGACAACTCGAGAGGTAGACTCAGTCGACCCTCTTCATGTCGAAGGATTACTACTCAGCATTAACCGACACTCCTCCCAAGGACAAACTGGTACATTACTTAACAATATTTAACCTTTAAATGATCATCATCTCCATCCTCAGCCGACTGAAGCCTTGTCGGCTGTCGGTTCCCCGCATCACCGAAGTGACCTCCCATCACTCACTAACAAGCCTCGTCGGCTGTTGATTCCCAATATCATTGACGTGACCTCTCATCACTCACAAACTGACACATATAGAGCAAAGGGTGAACCGGGTTAATTCGAGTGAGACAGACTGGTGGAGGTCTTTATTAGAAAGTTTATCTCTGTCAAAGGAGGGTTCCCTGCTCAAGACTTTAGGACTCCAACATGGGTTCATTCGAGTGAGACAGACTGGTGGGCTCGAATGATAAATTTTGCCTTGGAGGAGCTGGAAGAACCTTTGAGGATTTCAGAAATGAGGACTCCAATAACGGCTACTCGATATGGGATTTCTCCAAATTACAGCGGACTTTTTGCTATGCTAGAATTTTATAATCCTCACACCGGTACATTTTTTACTCCTGCTGGTGAATTAGGTTTCGCTCTTCATGAGATGTTTGAAATTTCTGGCTTGTCTTTTGGAGAGCTGCCTTACGAGGAATTCGTCCCCGAGGACTTCTATGGATTATAGTCCAACACGAGGACTGAGAAATGGTGAAAATATCGCTAAGATACATAGTGAAATTTACCTATATAAATTCACAATCAAATCAGTGTGTATATCCATAATTTGTACCCTCGGGTCATCTATCATGCATGGATACATAATAAGACTAAAAAAACCAGAGTCAGATGATCCAGGCAAAATCTCGAATATGAGAAAATACACAGAACAGGAAATTTGCAACAGA